ACTCATTTTAAGAGTTCACTTTATGTGCATCTCTGGAATTCAACTATTCAAACCCGTCATCCCCTTCCACCCCTCCCTTCCCCCTTCAATAAAATCTACTGAAGTTTGTAAGGTTTTTTTGCAAAAGTTCTAGATTTAATTTTGTTATTTTGTTGACGTTATCTGTTTTTTTTTTCTTTTATGTTTTTTAGTTTTCTCAATAGAAGTTCTTTATGAAGACAAATTTCGGGTTATTAGCAAAAAAGTCCCTATCGTTTGTACTCATTGCGAAAATAGTCCCTATCGTTTTGAACTTGCTATTTAAACCCTCATTTCAAACATTTCTTGCAGAATTGGTCCTTTCCGTCATATTCCGTTAAATCCATTCATTAAATATGTGTAATTTGATGTAAAAGGTCCTTATTGTTTGCTATAATTACGCAAATAGTTTTTATCATTTCAATTTTGATATTTAGATATTCAGATTGACATTTCTTTGCTTAAATGATCATTGCGTCCATTTTTTCCTTTATAACATTATGAAATGACTAATTTATCATCATATTTAAATAATCAAATAGAAAATATAAATAATATAAATAAATTGTATCTAAAGTTTCTATTTTTTTTTTTTTAAAAGTACAAATGAGTCTCAGGAAAATAATTGAAATATTCTAATAAACAAAAACGTTTCATCTTCCCACTTAACCCACGTACCCTACGCCCATCCCCCTACACTCCACCACACCACCACAAAAATAATTAAAGAGTTAATTAACAATATAATAAAAGTAAAAAAAAAAAAGAATTAAAAATAGAAAAAAATTATAAAAACATAATGGTGTTTATTCCTCATCAAATATTTTTTTATACTTTTAATTCTCTTTTTGATTATTTTGGTGGTGAAGGATAGGCGTACAAGTAGGGATAGGTGGGTTATTTGGGAATATAAAATATTTTTTTATTAGAATGTTTTAAAAAAATTTATGTGAGATTCGTTTGTAATTTTAAAAAATACTAGAAACTCTAAATACAATTTTTTTTTATTTTTTTTTTCTATTTGTTTATTTAAAGATGATTATAAATTAATCATTTCATAATGTTATAATAGAAAAAATGGACGCAAGGACCTTTTAAGTAAAGAAATGTCGATTTAAATATCCAAACGCCAAAATTGAAATGGTAGTGATTATTTACGCAATTATAGCAAACAATAGGGACCTTTTACATCAAATTATACATATTTAACAGAAAGATTTAACGGAATATGACGGAAAAGACCAATTCTGAAACAAAAGTTTGAAATGATGGTGTAAATAGCAGGTTTATAACGATAGGGACCATTTTCGCAATGAGTACAAACAATAAGGATATTTTTTTTGCTAATTATCCACAAATTTCTAATACCATACCTGTCTGCATGTCTTTTACAATTCTGTTTATGAGTCAAAATCTTGAACCTGTCAGTGAATTTCGTTCTCTTATACAAGGATTGCATAAATGATAATTGCACAAACATTTAGTAGAAGATGAATAAATAAACATAAATTATTTTTTATTTATGATCTATACATAGTATTGGACAACATATTAAATGAGGTTTTAGTTTCTTTTTCTTCTTTAATATCCAGTACTATGTACAAATATCACCTTAAAGTGCACATATATAGACTATAATCCAATACTGCCATCTAAAATCCAAACAATGCAATTATCTATCCTTATTCTCTTCTCCATTTTCTCTTGAGCGAAAAATTTCACAGACTCCTGGGATTATACATGTAAACGGTTCTTCCATCCCATTCTTGAACTGGCCTTGCATTTTCCTCAAATCCCTGAAAAGAAACAAATCAAGACATCCTCGAACAAAATCTAGATGATAAAACAACAATATACAAAGTCTTGTCAAATATTTTGTAGAAACCGAAAAGTTTTTAAAACTTTCTAGTATTCTCTATATAATTTTTTTTGCGAGTAATTCACTAAAATCAATTCAACCCTAATTAAAAAATACTTACATCATGAACGGCATTCCTGAGTTCTCTTACTTGCTCCCTTGAGACTGTTCTCACCTATAAAAGAAGTAGACTTTCAGATGCTCTAAGCTTAAAATTAGGTAAGAATTACTGTAACTTCTGTCTTCAAGGTAAGTTATTATTATATAAAAATGTTGATTATGTTGAAAGTAATTTTGGCTGTCAAATATGGACTGACCTTCTTGCGTACTGTCCAAATAACACCCTCTGTGCATGGGGGAACTGTTAGGGAACCCAAATATCTGTAATATTTTCTGCTTCCAAACTTGATTGTCCATGGGTTAACAACCCCCAAATCAATTCCTTTGTGATCCACTGTTTTGACATGGTGTAAAAACTGGAACAAAGAAAGACAACCAACTGTTAGTAAAATATGAATATTGTCACAGGTGCAAAATGAAAGCATACATAAATGGTGCAGTTCGGTGATCGAGTGTTGTCTGATGGAAAATAACGGATTAAATCTCGTAGCCAAAGCTCTTAGATTTTGTTTAATACGTAATATTAGACACAATTACACTTTACATATTCTTCCTTTTGGATATTGTTCTATTCTATTCAGTACTAAAACTTACAATCTACGTGCTATTGAGTTATACCATCAATGGAAAATATTCGAAATAAGTGAATCCGAGCCAAACTAATTACCTTTGAAAGGAAAGGATCTGGTTGTCCAAATTTGTACAGGATTGCAACTACTGCAATCACTCCAGAAGAGCTTTTATGAACCATGTGTAGCTCCATATTATAGCTGCTAAGAAAATTTAAGTGAGCATTTGCTGAAATGTAACTTATTGAACTTAATCTAGCAACAAACTAATATTACTTATTTCTGAGGTTTTAAGTAATTAATTGTTGGTAAAGAAAAGAGTGGTCAAATGAACCTTTTTCCATTCACTGTGTGTTCAGAGGGAGAA